TGGTTGTTTTTTTAACAATGGCTCACAATTTATCAACCGGGCCGATGCATATTGTTTAGCTGCAGTTGCATGAACTACAATGTGAGATGGGAACAATGGTGGGACGTCAAGAGTATTTTCATCGATAGTGACGGCCGGGGGGATGTTATTTGTTGCCACAGGGCTTGTACTAGCAGTGGAGACAGAGGGGGGATGACACATCAGGAGTGGGTTTGCCATTGCCGGTCGCCGCCGTTGGGATTGCGGCAGGCGAGCTTTCGCATGCGTTTTCGGAGGCTAAATTTAGATTTGTTAAGCGAAATTGACCGGTGTGTGAAAGACCTTCTGAGAATGGGGTCGCGATGGGAGAACTTGGATACTGAAGTTGCTTTAGCCTGACAAGCCATTCTTTTGGCTTTGACAGTGCAGATCATGTTAGCTTCCTAGGTTGCTGCTCCATATTTCGCTGATCTCTTCCAGCGACAGCCACCTTCGTTAAGCCTTCCCCTGGTGCGACTAAAGTAGACACGTTTTAAGTGTATTCGCCCCATTATGACCTTACAAAACGAACTAGAAGCCTTCAATTCCAAAACTATCCAATACTTTGTCTACCTTTTTTTAAATTGGTCTTTCGTGCTTTTTCTGCGCTGGCCAGGTGGTATTCGTCAGCGGTACTAGCGGCGTGAATTTCCACCTGCAAGGACTTGTCTACTCTATCCACTGAAAACAAATAAATGTAGAATATGCATCTTCCGAACCATCTGAGTGTGTCAGCTGTTTAGGCACCAATCAGCATATATGAGACTTTGAATGGTAAGAATCGAAAACCTAGTACCAAAGTCACATGCTTCTAACAGAGCTGAATACATATTTGGGTTTTTATTGTGATAACCACTTACTTGCGAATTTTTAGTAGGTAGAATTTCGGCCTATCCAACCCCTTCCTTCATTACGTTAAACAATAGGAGTTGTTCTAATATCACAAACAGAAGTTTATGTTGGTCAGGATTATTCCTTCCTGCTGCTTTTTACATATATTTTAAGTTCAGTAAAACAATTACAAGTGGCTTTAATTAATTTTCTACTGTTCAATTTCCACGCATTCAACACGCACCCAAGCAGTACACCTTAACCCACGATTTCCATAAGAAATGTGGGCAGCGGGCTTTTACAATTTGGTGGCTCCATGATGGATCGCTACCAAATAGTAAGTGCACGCCCTCCGCGATTTGACTACTCTCTTGTTGACTACGCAATGCGCCTTTTTGTAAATAGCTGTTAGGCTTAAACTGCGGTTTGATGAGCTGCTTCTGATCCATCTGCTAAATTCAGTGTGTATGTATGGAATATCTGCGCAGCACTCGAGCGTATGTTTGTGGTTCCAGTCCCAGCTGGAAGTCAGGATTATGATTGTTTGAGTGAAGACAGAGTAGGTGCAAAACAGACTTATCAAATTACTCGCATATTACCTCAACCATCCTCTCTGCAAGCCTTTAGTCCATCATCAAGTACGTTTTATGCTTCTTATTATACCAGTTTTTCTCGTATACGTTTGCTGTATGCCTTTAGCCATGTTTAACAATGATGACAAGGGGGCTTGTCGCGAGCAAACAGAACCTTTTGTTTTCGAGAAACCATTGTCTGCGCACATTGCATCAATGACAACAAAATCCCTTATTTGTATGCCTCCACGTATTTTGAGGGTTTGCTTTTCTCATGCGAGCTGACAAGTTACTCATATCGGATTCCTAATGGCCTGTGTGTATTGGTGACGCTAATCTAACTACATCTAGCTAGCTTTTCTCTTCGACCTATAACGTTAACAAAAAATCGGGGGTGATAGTTGAGTTCGAACCCAGGCGAACCAGGCATTCCAACCATCTGGGTTACGAAGCGCCGGCGGAAAACATGACTCCAATTATGGCTGAGTCCAGTTATCTGCCCAGCCTGCTGTAATATATAAAATGCGCCAACTTACGTACAGTAAACTGACTGTACAAAAAGGAATTCCTTAGGAATTAACCTAGAACCTTCCAGACACCTACCAGTCTCAGTAACTTCATACGTGCTTTGTGAACAGCTCGGATGCCTTATTTTGTCGCAGGAGACTTATGTATTTGCCTAGTTCACTCAGACAATACTAATTAGTTGACTTTCATGAGGAGCATGATTAAAAATTCTGACAACATGTCTCCCATCACTCAATAAGAGTTTGATTCTTATTTTCCGTCACTGTCCAAACTGTCTTACTCACTTACAACCTCAACGTGCGTTGGGTATATGCGTATTTTTTTTATCGCAGCTAGTGGGTAGGGTTAGGATTGTCTGAATGAAGGCAAAGTAATCTTAGAACCATCCACATTAAACGCCGTTTTCCGTCAGTTCTCAGAGTAGTAGGTTGTCCCAAACACATCTAATTTCAATGATCCTGATGGCCTCTATTATTTCAGATTCTCGAATTGGAGCAAGAAAAACGAGACTTGGAGAGGCAGGTGAATGAACTAAAGGCAAAATGCGAACAAATCGAAAAACGGGCTGCAGAACAAAGGCAGGTGGAGGAGAAGAAGCATCAGGATGAAATTCAGTTTTTGAAACGAAACAACCAACAACTAAAGGTAGGTTCAGAATGCCCTCACTGGCGAGGATAGGTTTTTTTAATCAGCTTTTTAATCAGTTTACGCGTTCGATGTTCATCCTTGCGGCATTTTGTCTAAAACCCCGCTTCTCTGATGCTTTTAGACCCAATTAGATGGAATTATGAATCCAAAATAAAATACCGACGTCCTTCTTCTCCCTTGGAGTGGACTTTCCGAGTCGATTTGGATATCAGTGACATAAATTTCACAGGTTCTCTCCCTCATACTCCTCCCCGGCCCTTCCATTTCGCAAAGGTTGTCTTCGCTTGGCTGGCGATAACAGACACACAAATTGTATGCTATTAAGTAAAGTATATAATCCCAGATGCCTTTCAGACTTCATTTATCTGTCCTGCACTAATGCTCTGTAGGACTTTATTGAGTTCTGACTATTCTCTGCTTCTTCCCGCTCATATAGGCATGCAGACTTGACTAGCTTTGTAACGCTGATCAATTTGGCTTCCTAAACATTTAAAGGGCAAATTGTTTGCATGGCTTAGTATACGTAGGCTTAGGATGACCGAGCACGTCACCCAGGCAGACAGACAGTCCGAGGTCACGTCAGAACGGGCCAAGTTGCGCGACCTTCAAAGGGCGGGACGCAAGGCTAGGACAAAGGAGTCACGCATGAGCCAGATGCCCTTAGAGCCGAGTTGCTGTCGTCAGTGAGGTCACGCTGAGGACAGACGCACAGACGTGCGTAAGCGAGCGTGCGCACGATGACAATGGGGAGCAATGACGACTATCCCTTAAATAGCGAGGCTGGAGCAGAACGGGTACTCTGCTGTGGGACACGCCGCCGACGACCCGAGACCGACCACAGAAGGCAAGCTGCTGGACACACGGAACAGAGTTGATGTACTAGCACAAGTGACAGTAAAGTACTAGCTGTTATCTCATTCTGTCTTCTCTTCCTAACACGTACTGGGGAACATAACCATTGTTGACATAGGAACACGATAGGTTACAACACGTAGTTAATACACTCAATCGCCACCGACCGGACAACAGTTCCGTGACGCGAAGTACAGTGTAGTTCACTCCTAACCAATAGATTTCAAGTTAGAGCCTCGAGCCCTGCAACACCTAGGGTTGGGTTTGGGGGGAAAATTCTGGCTAAAAATGGGCAGATGTGGTCATTCCAGTCTGTCTGGTCTTTGTTGAGCATGCTATTTACGAAGGGGATTGCAATGGTCTGGTAGCAACAAGATGAAACATTACAAGTGGCAGTCTTCAAAGAACGTTTTTGATTTATTTTCTAGGTTTTTGTTGGCAGGTTTGGTTCGGCGGCACAATGAAACAAACACGGTTCAGGGTAGCAAAAACTTATTCTTTAATTAAGGCAAAACATTTTGTTGATTGTCGGAGCGAGGCAAAACAAATCGGGCTGTTTTTCATTAATATACCGTTCGATGTGACATCAAAAGACTGCATGATTTACAAATGTGAGCAGTGAGTTTCGATACTTTGTTCGCGTATGCGCGATTCGGGCATGCGTTTAGCTAGGCTTGTGACCGGACAATATTTCCGTGACGCGAAGTAAAGTGTAGTTCACTCCTAACCAATATATTGCAAGTTAGAGCCTCGAGCCCCGCAACACCTAGGGTTGGGTTTGAGGGGGAAATTCTGGCTAAAAATAGGCAAATGTGGTCATTCCAGTCTGCCTTGTCTTTACTGAGCATGCTTTTTACCAAGGGTATTTCAATGGTCTGGTAACAAAAATATTAAACTTTACAAACAGCAGTATTCAAGGAGCTTTTTGATTTATTTTCTAGGTTTTTGTTGGCAGGTTTGGTTCGGCGGCACAATGAAAAAAACACGTTTCCGGGTAGCAAAAACTCATTCTTTCAGTTAGGCAAAACATTTTGGTGATTGTCGGAGTGAGGCAAAACAAATGGGGCTGTTTTTCTTTGAATGACTGCATTATTTACAAATGTGGGCAGTGGGTTTCGATACTTTGTTCGCGTATGCGCGATCTGGGCATGTGTTCAGCTAGGCCTGTATACTTGCACGGACAGTTTACGCATGGGATGCGATAGACTACCTCGGGCTGCTTATTTAGTATCTGTTTTTCGTCACCCTGCCGCGCATGCTAGCTATGGCATGGTGTACTGATGCAGAATCCTGGGCTACTGAATCCTAAAGATAGTGAAACGCCCTGTGTGTGAATGATCCATTCCCGATGCTCCCTCTCGTGATGGGCTCCAACACTTATTCGAAAGGCTGCGTAAAGGAAGTTGCTGTTCCGAGTACCAGGTCTACTTCTTCTATACTAACATCTACGACTCAGTTGTTGGCCTTTGTTGGCAAGCTGAATCGCAAGCGAAGATATGACTTAGTGGTGGACCATTTACGAAGCGTTAGCAAGATAAAGTTGTATCGTAGCATGGTAAAGGTTTTGTAATAATCAAAAAGGGACGTAGTTAAAAAAATCATTCCAGAGAAACAAAGGCACAATTGCAGGAACATGGGGTTAATTGGCCTGCCGTTTTGGGTTTGCGCTTGAACCCACCATGAGGCAATCGCAGTTAAGAGTGCTAAGGGCGCTAGGCATACGGTAATTTAGACACAGAGTTACCGTGAAGTCACGTGCTCAATCCAATCAGAAGATCCTATATTAAGAACACGCGTATACAGCAGGATTTATTGACGTCAAAAAATATCGTGATAGCTTCCCAACTACATCCCATCGTTGCATGAGTTTGATTACGATTAGGACATACATGGAGCGGCGAAATCCTCGATTAGTAAGCATCTGCTAGACAGCGGTCATTCTATTGACGTCAAAACAGCTTTTCGAGTACTTGTTCGGGCACGAACAAATCGAACCCAGTGCTTTTTTGGAAGCTGCCTATATACAGTGAGAAAAACCCGACCTATGCGAGCAGCTTGACCATGTGGTCAACCTTCAATTACCCTGGTAATTCAGCACTCATCTTTAATCCACACGTGATTTTCGTTAACTTTCGTTAACTTTTTCTCACACCTCCTATGTCCTATACGTTGATTTAATACAGTACCATTTATCTGATCATTATTAACATTGAAATATGACCCGTACTGTTATGCCGTGTCATTCGGTGAAATTTCAAACTGCTGTATGTTTTATTCGTTATAAATCTCATGCAAAACGGGATACAATCGAGAACCTGTGTACACTTCTTTTTAATTGGTACCGGGGAACAAATGCCTGAAAGATCCCATATTCATTGCTGATGGTCGTTAGTAACACGATGAGTGTTCGGTTGTCTGCATCCGAATTAATAATAGTCAAAATTGAATCACTGTCTTTGAGTCCTGGCCTGACGATGACTTGGCATTGCGACTCGCAGTCACTGGAATCTTTGATCAATCGCGTCATCCCCGCTTGGCTTAGTACTCAGCCTAGACAATGTCTTCGCATAGACGATGGAGCCGAAATGTGGTTAATTGACTGTGAGCCAGAGCCAAAACTTCTGGCCAATAGCACCCAGCCATATCATCGTCTTCTTAACTGGTTCCTCGAACTCGCCTGTTACTTATATGAAGGTTCTTTTCCTGGACGTCCTCCAAAGTCGCATATCTAACGGCAGCGTCCAAAGGAGCATTTATAAAAAGAAGGCCTGGCCTGGATAGTACACGAATTTTAAAACTTTCGTACCTCTTTAGCAGTAGCAAAATCTAGTTCGCTGCTTTTTGCAAAGGGCTAGAAATATCTTCTCAGCAGACAGTATTGAAGAGGAGATCAAGAAAATGGCAGACCTTCTACGTCAGTATGGGTATCCTGAGAGAATTACTTCAAGGAATATGGCTGCAAAACAAATAAAACCTATCGCACTTACTGTAGAAAAGAAAACACTATTCTTCAAAGTCCTATTTCGAGGGGGCGCGGCAAGTGAACTACCGAAAAGACGCCTTGACAGAGCCGTTTCACGAACCTTCCTAGCAGCCAGAGTTCGCGTATTATTTTCAACCAACCCAATCTTACATGGGGAAGGTAAGGATATGTTACCAGCCTAGACCACCTCCATGTGCATCTACGCTTTTACTTGCTTTTGTGGAGCAGGTTATATTAGTCGATTGAGTCGGTGTCTATCCAAAAGAATAAAAGAACACCTCCCGGCATGGCTGAGAAAAGGTGAGGTCAGGAGCATAAACAGCGCAATTCTGGCACACATGGTTGATTCCTGATAACGTGTGGACTCCAAAGAAGCTTTTCGCATGACCGACAAGGTCCCACCAAATTATTCAAAAGTCCCTTGGTCAGCGCCTGCTAGCAATGGCGGAAGCGCCCGCTATCAGGTTGATGAAGCCGGCGTTGTGTTCACAGAAGAACTTCCTACAAGCTCCGCATATGGCGTCGCCCACAATCAATTCGCGGCATGCACTCATCCGCGCTCTGTTTGAAATGTCGTCAAAGGACTTTAAAAGTCAGGATTGGAGAGGGGGCAGACAGTATATGCCCTATCTCATGAAACGTCAACTGAAATTCTTTAATATGCTTTGAGCTAGAATAAGTTCTTCAAGAAGGGCTGTACGTTTGAATACCGTACAGCCTAATCTCAATATATCTAAGTCACCTCTGGACACTGGCTCTCGAATGGGCTTTATTCTGACCGCATGCAATAAAATTTTCTGAAAAAAAGTGTTTGTCTAAGTAGTATGCCATTTCCTCGTTTAGCTTAAAGGTTCTTGAAAATTAAAATATAGTTTATAGAAGGCATAAAAATGTATCCTTTAATGTGTTGTTCTGGTAGCTAATTGCGCTTCCTTGGAACTTCATACCTACCGGCAAGGTATATTTCTGTTCAAAAAAATCTTCCTCTATTGCCTAAAAATTGTGGACTCTACCGCCCGTTATATTAAAAATAAAAGTTTCTAAATGACATACTGTATCTATTCTTCCCCTATGGCACGAGAGACAGGTCACAGAGTTCTCCTAAAAATATTCACTTGATAGGAATCATACTGTATACGATAAAGGCAAAATTGATAATCTGATGTACGATGTACTATAAATGGAAATTTAACAGTCTTCAGAACTCTCTAGAGGTACTGTTGTGTTCGCATTCCACTGTACTGTCCTCAAACTTGCCTGAGTTTCTGAAGGTGTGTTTGCTCTCGCAAGCGGCATCTACCAAAGACTAAGCAAAATAC